TTTGGCAGGTAAAGAAGCTGATGTAGATGTTGATTGACAGGATAATCCATGGTAGATGGGAACAGAGAACTTGGACTCTCTTTTTGTAGACCCTACCTAAACCATAACTACCACCGAGAAGAGGAACAGTCTGATGGAAATCATAATGACCTTTCACACCACACCTTGCTAAAGAAAATGCCTGTGGATGTACCAATGTTAAATGAGATCCCTCTGCTCTGAGAATTGGCAAATGAAGCAGAACTAATTGAAACTTCACTAAGGCTGTGGCACAAAAAATCACATTGCTGCTTGTGTTGTTTCTGCTGTTTGATAACCTGAGTTGACTTGCCCGCAGCAGGATGGTGCTTGAAAAACTGAGCTGAGAGGGAAGAAGCTGTGGGCTCAGTGGAGGAGACTGGAAGAGCAGTGGTTTTCTCTTATGCAGGTTGATGAAAACATTTGACTGTCTCGTCCTCAGAGACAACAAATATCAAAAGAGATGTTTCACATTCCTCCTGGCTACCACCTGCTGATGACAATGTCACTGGCAATAACTGGTTTAAATCCTTTACCATCTTCATCTCTAGTGCTAGTAGATGCATTAGATGTCTAACTGATCATGAACCTTCAGTATGTGTATGTAGGTAGGAACAAAATATGTCACTATAAACTGTGTCAGGTAAAAAAATTTAAATGTAAGCAAGCAGAAATGGCCATACACCTTCCTATACATTGTGTGGTAATAGCTCTTCTGAACTACTGCATCCAGTTCTGACATTTCATCTTCGAGGGTTCAAGATGCTGGCAAGAGTTACAAAAGGACCTGTGGAAATTATATGGATTCTAAAAAATTATGAGAGGCGTATGACGCCTGATCTAAACATATGGTGACTGAGTAAGGAGATACTGCACCAGGAAGCAATTACTAGTGGCAGGAAAGTTTTCATACAGTATAGCAAGGAAGCCTGGAAGCTAAAGATAGAAATGGCATCTTTAGTTCAGGTTTTCTTTCTAGAAGAACCAGAGTAATTAAAATTCAGGAGCTGGAATTCCTGTACAGGGATTCACTCTTCCCTGGAGATTCACATAGCTGAGGTTAAAAGCTATTGATTCATGAACCTCCTGATCATCCACTTAGGATATTTTGAAATATCCTTAACAAGGTCATAAGTTTTTCTGGGTTTTGATAATGGCAACAGAAATGTTGATCCACCAAGGCAAGAGCGGTTTACCAAGATACCCTGCCTATTTTCCAAATTAAAAGATTTTTACTTTCAGAAAACCAGAAGTGCTCCCACTGACCAGCCCTAAATTCCCCACTGTGCAATGAGTGAATGATGTACTGCAGAGAACACTGAACTGTAGTTTTAGGGACACTTTGGTGCTTCTTTTCTTTCACCGTATCAAAACAACGCTGTCTGCTGACAAGCAGCAGTGGAGTGTGCTGCAGGGAGCCCTATTTTACCAATTGTCATTTCAAAACCCTCCAATTTTTAATAAACTGCTGTGTGGCTGTTTTAATCAAGCCCATTCCCATCACTCTGACTGAAATAAGCTGCTGATGTTGTTATCCATGTGAGCACCTAGAAGGCATAACAAAACTCATGACAACACTTATACATCAATAACATCTCAAAAGCCACATTTTGGCTTATTGTTGCAAGCAACTGCTTTTTTTTTTTTTTTTTCTTATGGCTCTTCAGATTTTAATATCTTTTTATGAGAAACTCAGCAGTGTGACTTAAGGAACATCCTCAGCTGAGGATGAGTCAAAGGCTCAAGCCCTTACATTCATTCTTGTTATATGTGTATTTGATGAATCCAGTTGATTTTACTTTCTATTTTGGGGATAAAGCCTCAGATTTGTCATACTAGAGAACTGACAGGCCCAAAAGTATAAAGATCACATCTCCTCTCACCCATCAAAGGTTTCTGTGGTCTCACCACTGGAGTCCTACATTAAATCTTATCTTCAGCTCCAACAGACTGAAGAGAACAACATAAACCAATCAATATGACAGATAAATCATCGTATCATTAAGGCAGCTTCTTAGCAATGAAAAATCCTTTAGGCATGACAACTCACAATCCCAGAAAATTGCAAAACATTTTATAAGGAGAACAGAGGAATCAGGGCTCTAGGAAGTGGTTGTATATATCACTTCTTATAAACTTCTCATCATCAGATAGAACCCTTTACCTGATTCTCCACAAGGATGCTGCAAGATTTATAACACTTAGCACAAAATAAAACGCAAAAGATAGAAATATGAGTAATGGTTGATACATAAGAATCAAAAATATGCTGGTATTCAACAACTGGTTGACATTTGCATCTGAGTGGGTGTTTCAAAGTGCTGCAGCCCATCTAGTCCTCCTTCATTTGCAATCCCTGTGACTTTGGGGAGTTCCTGAGTGTTTCACTTTTACTTCACTTTTACTTCTTGCAAGAATTCACAACTTTTTGCCACCTAGAAGACTCAACAATCAGGGTGGCGAGGCCCTGGCACAGGTTGCCCAGAGAAGCTGTGGTTTCCCCATCCCTGGAAGTGTTCAAGGCCAGGTTGGACGGGGCTTGGAGCAATCTGGGATAGTGGAAGGTGTCCCTGCCCATGGCAGGGGGGTGGAATAAGATGAGCTTTAGGGTCCTTTCCAACCCAAACCATTCTGTGATTCTATCCTAGTTAAGGAGTGAATCAATTTCTACTGAAATCAGCTTCTGCTGAAATCAGATAACATACTAATCTTCATTTCTGTCTTTCTTGATCATTTTCATGTAACATTTAATCTTCACTGTTCACTGGTTTTGATATGGCCACTATTCTCATGAAGTCTGGCTGTCTTTCAATTCTAATGCACTTATTCTTTCAGTGTGCCTTTGCTTTGAAGTCCTTCATTTTCATCTAAGAAATCACTCCTACAGAATGAGTTGTCAGTGTCTCTACATCCTGTATTAAGTTATGTAATTAAAAGATAAAGAGTAGTTCTAGAATATGTATGGGTTGATACCACTAAGCATGAATAAACATGTGTCTATATATGCATATATAAAAGATATGAACTGATGGAAAGCGTATTAATATATATTTCAATCAATAACTTTAACCACCAAACCTTTGACAATGAGGTGTTAGCACACAGTAACCTGCAGAGCCATGCAGTGAAAGGTATTTACTGTGCTTATGCTGACATGTAATTAATTTTGTGCACTTCAGACATCTCTCTGGAGTCCTGTAAATATACACAAGTAAATTCAGTTCAGTAAAATGTAGTCTGCAAGTTTTCCATTCAGTGGAAAGAATTATTCATTAGAGTAAGGCTTGTTTTCAATTTATATCAACAGCCTGAAGTTGGGTGTCAGATTAAGACTCTCAGGAGATGCCTAGTGACAACACAGTAAGCAAGGTGATCAAAGATAAATAGTAAACAACTTTTGACATGCAGGAGTCACCACACAGTCTTATCTCCACATTTATGAGGTATGTTTTTATTTTCCTGTATTCTCAGCTTTCATACAGTAGACAAAAGCATAAATAACATCTATAACACACTTATGTATGAAAATATGTTGCATCCAGAGTTACCCCTAACTCAACACCCCCAACTGTCAGCTCCACTGTCATTAACATTGAATCACAGAATGTTCTGAGTTGGAAGAGACCCACAAGGATCATCAAAGTCCAACTGCACAGGACACCCCAAGAATCCCACCCTGTCCCTGAGAGTGTTGGCCAAACACTCCTCGAGCTCTGGCAGCCCTGAGGCCGTGGTCACTGCCCTGGGGAGCCTGTTCCAGTGAAGACAGAGACATGTGTTGTGTCGTGACACAGAATGTGACATATGCATTTTTATTGATACTATAAACTTTTATTGATGTGATAACCTTTTAAGTTTATATCTAGCTTCTGCAGTTTCAAGCCTGCAGTTTGAGTTTTTCGTGTAAGAGCCACTTGCATCCTCAACCTCTTTGTCCTTGAAGAGGCTGAAGAGACTGAGAATAGTCCTGTGGTTCAGAACCTCACAAGGATGTATTTTGCATTCAAGGGTTTTGGTTCCCTGTCCTGCAGTCAGTGATGGTTCAATTGCCTCCGTCAAAGGTGTCTTGAGTGGGAAATCTATATTAATTTATTTTCTCATGCCTTTAAGAAGATATGTGTCTTTGTGTCACATTTAGTTCTTTTATATGCCAAGTGCCTAAATTGAAGACTTCGTATATACAGACTATGTGTGCATACACTAAAAGTGCAAAAAAATAGAAGATAAATACATACATACATACATACATGAACCTTTTTTTCCCTTGCTCTGAGTGAAAAACTTCAGCCTAATTTGGTTCTTTTTATAAGGAGTCTTAACTAAATAAATTAGCAGAGCAGCAGACAACACTTGTACAGGATCACAGTACAGCAAGAGCCTTAACAAGAACTGCAGCATTGCTGCAGTTCAGTGACAGGATGATTTTTGGCAGGTTAGACTCCGTAATATCTGCTTGCCTTTGAAATGCTATCAGCTCCACAGGTCTGGTTGTGTACGGTTACAAAATGATAATACTTTGAATAAATAAGCAATTTACTCAGAGTTTTATTTTATATTAAAGGTATTAATTTAATTTAATTATATTAAAGTTTTATTTTATATTAAAGGTAAGGTCCTTTGAATTATTGGTGGGGTTTTTTCTCTATCTTACAGTCTTTTTAAGATTTCCCTGCTACTTATTGAAATTGATACCACATGTGACAGGATTTCTAACCTCTACAACTGACCATGTTCCGGGTAGATAGCCCAAATACTCACCCTACACCTGTGCCTGAGTTTATGCAGATGGCCTGTGATAGCTGTGGAGCTCTTTAGGCACAACTGCTGCACTTGGGCACCCCTGAAATCTTCTGTGCTATGAGCAGCAGTGCCAAACAGCCAAAGCACGCTGCAAATCCCATTTTTCATACAGCCTGTGCTCACATTTATGGCTCATACAAGGAGAGAAATATCTCTGTAGTCATCCCCTCGGGTGTTGGTACCTGGTGCCTGTGTCACTGCCACTCTTCACTGCTCCGTCATCCGTGAAATTAAAGGTGCCGGTCCAATTTGCCAATTCCTCTCCATTCTGCCAGCTAAACTGCAGCCCTCTAGCAAGAAAATGAGGCAGTTGATATTTGATATAATTCATTAGGTCAAGTCTATCAGCATGAGTTCTCATGTCCTATTTCTTAACATAGAAATGTGACTACGACACATTCACCAAAACCAATGAAAAGATACCAAGAAGCACATGATATCACTTTACTAGTAGCAACAATTAATTTTCACTTCCCATAGACACTAAAAGTCCTTGGCTGAAAAGAAAATCAGGCTCCCCATCCAAATTTGAAGGCTCACTATTCATCTGTGCTCAGAAACAGGATACATATGTGTGGAGTGGAGCAAGGTAGAAATTTCATTCCAAAAGACACAAGGGCAAAGAGCTGGAGATGTGGAAAACTGCTGCTCCAAATTTCAATTTTACATCTACAGTAGTTGTTAAATGTGATGGACACTGGGTCCTTCCTCTAATTTGTTGGCCATGCTAGCAAAGGATTTGTCACAATATGTTGCTTCTTTTCCCTGTTTGGACAGAAGACATTTTTTAAGCCAATGCACAACGTAATCATCACAACTCCCTGTTTTCCAAACTTCCACAAATTCATTCCAAGCTCCATGATACCTGCAGTCTTCTGGAAACTACACCTACAGTTAGGTAGAAATCTAAAAATGCTAAAAAAAATATTGGACAACGGTCAAATCCTTCCCCTAGCTCAGAAGTCAACAAAAACGAACCTTTCAGATTGTTATTTTTAGACTTCTCCATTTTAACCCAATTTCATTATTTCAGAAGCCTGGCAGCAGAGTCGTGAACATTTGGTGCTGCCAATACTGAAAGTGAACTTTCAGCTGAATTGTGTGGAGATGGTCAGGGAATAATCTCCCAGCACACTTTGTCCAAAAGAAAGGGCATCCAGGACCCCTGTAGTTTTTCTGGTCAACAGGCTTATTACAAGGACTGGAGAGTCTCTCAGACCACATCCACCCTCTGGTCTAATTGGCAGCAGTATAAGCACAGGAAATCAGGAAGGAACAACATGGGGTGTTTAAATATGCCCATGGGACTCTCATGAGGTTTAACAAGACCAAGTGCTGGTGCTGCACCTGGGTTGGGGCAGCTCCTGGGATCAATCCAGGCAGGTGATGAACAGATGGAGCAGCCCTGGGGAGAGGGTCCTGGGGGGGCTGGTGGGGGAGAGGCTGGACATGAACCAGCCCAGAAACCCCCTGCCCTGGGCTGATCCCACAGCGTGGGCAGCAGGGCAGGGAGGGATTCTGCCCCTCTGCCCCCTCAGGTGAGACCCCCCTGCAGAGCTGCCTCCAGCCCTGGGGAACAACAGCACAGGGACGTGGAGCTGCTGGAGAGAGTCCAGAAGGGGCCACAGAGATGCTCTGAGGGCTGGAGCCCCTCTGCTCTGGAGCCAGGCTGGGAGAGCTGGGGGTGTTCACCTGGAGAGGATAAGGCTGCAGGGAGACCTGAGAGCCCCTTCCAGTGCCTAAAGGGGCTCCAGGAGAGCTGGAGAGGGACCTGGGACAAGGGATGACTTCCCACTGTCAGAGGGCAGGGTTAGATGGAAGGCTTATTGGGAAGAAATTCTCCCCCATGAGGGTGGTGAGGCCCTGTCCCACGTTGCCCAGAGAAGCTGTGTCTGCCCCATCCCTGGAAGTGTCCAAGGCCAGGTTGGACAGGGCTTGGAGCAACCTGGGATAGTGGAAGGTGTCCCTGCCCATGGCAGGGGATTGGAATAAGATGAGCTTCAAGATGATCTTTTAATCCCCTCTCAACTCAAACCAATCTTGGATTCTGGGATTCTGTGAATCATATCCAAGTGTGTATACATTATGCTACAATGGCTACAGGGTAATTAAGTGCTCTGGATAATCAGGGAGCCCCACACCTTGTATGTTGCTCTGGCAGTTTTTAATCAGCTGACACTGCTCAAGGTACAATTTCTGAGTATAATACTGGCGTGAAGAAAACAGGAGAAAATGACTAAAACACCTTCACTCTGAGGCCTGTTGAAATACACACTTGTGATTATCTCCCATGCACCACAGTCTAACACATTTTTTGCCACACTGTAACTGGTATAGAAACATGCATCCTTTGAATATATATCTTTGTATAAGACATCTAAATATATGGCCTTAAAAATATCTTATAATTGCTAAGGGCAGCTCTAAGTGATACATGGGGAGAGAAAACAGAAGTGTGGGAAAACCAAGTTGGAATCATACTTTTTAGTTTGATTTAATTTACATATTTGAGGCTCAGATATTTGCTTCCAAACTGAAATAGAGAGCATTAATTCAGATAATTAGCTGGTGTTTGTGTGTCCTTCAGAGGTGAACTCTCCTAAAAGTATAGCCAGTATTCAAGCAGATTAAATGAAGAATTAAAACATTCAATAAAGTCCTTCCCTTTTCTATGTCTTTACTCCACATGTAACAGCTGGAAGGAAATCTAAGCAAATGCCCAAAGGTGGAGGGGGGTGAATCTGTCCATAAAGCAAAACAAACAGTAAATTACTCTTGAATGCCCTCCTCTCATCAAGCAGTTTTTTGGGAACAATGTGCACTGCAGCAGGGGCACCAAGTTTGAAGGAGGACATTCACATTTTGGGTAAGATCCAAGAGGAGGTGGGAAGACTAACGCTGAGGAATGGCAGATATGTCTTATGATGACCAGCTTAAAATACTTGGCTTTGAAATGGCAGGAAGGGGGATCTAATTAAGGTACAAAAATATCTACCAAGGGCAAGCAAGGGTCTGAGTATGACACCTTCTGTGGTGAGGGTGAAGTAGAGAGCTGTGAGCAGAGCTTATAGAGCCAGGAGAAATCCAAGTGTGCAGCCCCTAACCAGGCAGATCACACAGGGCTCTTCTTCCAGCAGGTGCTCCAGAGATTAACAACACACAGGCTTATAGATACACAAAACACACCACCAAAGAAGTGCTGCACAGCTTCTAGGACTGTGTGTCTCACTGTGAGTCTGTAAGGCTGAGACCAAGCTGCTGCTCTGCATTTTCTGCAGTGGTGGTACAATAAACCTCCTCCTCATGGTAAGAACAACTTCCATGAACAATGGTTTGTAGTATTGGGACTGAGTAGAAACCAAGGATGAGACATTTAAAAAACACTGACCTGAATTAATTCTGTTTCTAACAAGATTACTGAGAGCTTTACCATTGATTTTGATCAGCCTTGAGTTGGGAGAATTCAATTTTTAAAACATAAAATGTTCTAATCCTCTCAGTTGTGAATTCTAAGTGTCCATAAAAGCTGCCTGGACAAATTTGCAAACAGTCTGAGAAAACAGAAAAGAGACTTGAACTGCTCCATCAGTATATTTCTTTGGCATATTACTGCAGTTAAATTCTACCACATTCATTCTCAGCACTAACTACATTTAAACTGGTAAACAGAGAAGAGGCAAATTAATCTTCTGTGAATCAGAATTGCAGCACAAAAGCACATGCAGGATGGAAACACAGAAAAGGAAGAGAAAAAGCAGCAGAGCATAAAAAAGAGGGTAAAGAAAGATTAAAAGAATGGGAGGAAAGCTGAGGAAGTGACTCAGACATAGAGGTCTACTATACGATTGAGACAGTTCACGTAAAACAGTTTTAAAAAAAAGAAAAGAAAAGCTAATTTTACACCTGGAATCATTACCAATGATTACCAACAGTGGAACTTTGCCATTTGCTCAATTTGCAAATTGTGATAACTTCTAAAATTACTCTGTTTTCCCAACGTGTGATGCTGATGACGACTTCATAAAAGATGTAATAGCCAGAAACACTCTCAGTGCAGAGATGCTATGTTTTGCCCATTCACTGCAAGGAAATTGCTCATCAAGGAAGATGGACGTCATTTATGGACATCATTAATCACAGAAATTACCCCTAACAAATAGGAGCATGAATAATGTTGTGCCTTGCGTTGGAGAAGCTCAGTGAAGTTGGATGTCTTAGCAACAAAGACCTGAGTTCCAGGTAAATGTCAAAGGAATATTTTGATCCTAATTGGTAACTGTAAATGTTGAATCAGTGTGTGGCCAAATAAACAGTGGCGTAATGTAAGAATAGCGGGAGGGGGTGAAAAACCAGAAAATTAACAAAGCAGCAGTAATTCTGAAGGGCTTGTCAAAACCGGCTGTCAGGAAACAGCAGGACGCAAATACTAAAAGCCTGTTGCTGCAAACCAAACAAAAAACAACTCCCACACAAGCAGAGGTTTTAATAGCCGAGGATGTCAGGTAATTATGAGGTTTTTGAACTACGAGGCAGGAACGAACGTGTGGATGGGTTGCAGCAAGAAGCTTTGTATCCATCCTGCTCTCACACTGAGATCCCACCTCAGGGGGGTCTCATTGTCTTTCTGAAGAGGAAAGGAAAGGTGAAAATTCAGTTTAGACCAGAAGGCAAAGCTTTAAAAGGGGGCCATTCTACAGCTAATAAATGAAGAAGACCCAAAGGGCTTTAAGCACAGCTGGAGGTCCTGTCTGGGCTCTGTACAGAGAGCAGTCCATGACCATGCATGCAGCAGAATTTATTCAGGGAAGATCCATGGCCTTTCAGGGCATAAGAGCTGTTTGAAGCAAGTGGTTGAGTAACACAGCAATCAGCACCTCTGGGTGACAAGGACAGAGTGGCAACGGGGGCATCACAAAGGTGGTACAAGGAGAAAGCACCTGCCACTCCAGTGAGAACCCATTCCCCAAATACCACCAGCTCATCCCATTTAATCCCAGCCAACAGGCTATTTCCACTCATCTTTCAAGGTGACAGCTACCACTATCCTCGTCCACTATCCACCAGAGGCAAATTAAACCCAAAAAACAAGCAAAACCAGATAGAAAGTGATGTTGTCTTATGTCAGTGATGCTAAGCCAAGACCTGACTCAGCCTGCTGGCCTACACAAGTGGTCAAGCAAGGGGAAAAAGAGAAGTCTATAGCCTCCTTTTTAGAAGGGGGAAGGAAGATATGAATGTCTCCAGGAGCAAGGCAAAATACTTCATTTTCTTTCTGAGCTCCCTCTATTTC